TTCCATTTGTACAGTTGATTTCTCAATGGGCACACATTACCGCCATGGTCCTGTATTCATTCTTTTCCAAGCGACGTGGTCGTTCTATTTCCCAGGCAGGGAGACACAGGTATTTGGCCTTTGAATCACTTGCAAATATTTACTACAGGCCTAAAGCAACCATGGTATAAGTGTGTGACGGCAAGCTTGTCTGGGGATAGTCACTGCTGTCACATCGCCCAAGAAACTCACTGCCAGTTGGAAGGTCCTTCAAACTTTCCAAGCTTTCCTCTTGAGCTCAGAGTGGTGGCTGGCCTTTCCTAAAGTCCAGATGGAGGACGACGAACCTCAACAGCACTCTTTCCTGGCTTCTGTTCCATCATTAGCTATGAGCACGCAGGCCCTTTCTTCTGGACAGAGCACAAAATGCCACATCTGGGTGACCACCCATCCAACAGCAAAGCATACCCGGCGTAGTTTGAGGGCCTCAAATGCTTTTAAGGGAAGTTATCATACCCTGAAGGCATCCTGTTTAGCTCTCTGGGTTATAAAACAGGACTCCATGAAAGATGTGTCCCCGAGATGAAAACCTTCATCCAACTTCCTGCAATCTATCAGTGCAGAACGGATGTTCATATTATAATTCTTATCCTGCTTTGAAATAACCTGACACTGTCACATTTACGTTTAGCCTAAGTCATATGATTAAAAAACAAACAAATAAACAACGATAACAATGTCTCAAGTATTTCAGTTCCTGCCATTCCCACGGGAGAGCAGATCAAATTCCTCATCCTGCCTTCAGTGTTTGAGAAATCAACTGATAGGTAAAAGAGGACTTCCTTCTTTCTCTCTCCCTTTCAAAGAAAATCATAAACAGTAAAGCAACCCACTTTCCACTGTAAAGGGAAAGAAGTATTCCAACACCCTCTAGCTGGGCTGCTTCTGCTTTCTTCACCTACAGAAAGGTATTGTTAAGGGCCTAGACCATCTTCTTAAACACATGCCTAGCAAAGGGACAAAATAGATTCCTCAGGAAGTGCTCTAGAACATTTTAAGGAGATGTGTTGCCAAGGGCAAGACAGTTTCCATCTGCTGGTGCAGGGATGGAAGTGATCATGCTGTTAAACCTGGAGTTTTCCAGAAAACGGGAAAGGTAAATCCTAAAGGACTTTCATTTGCTGCCGGTGCATCACCGAAATCATTAGCATTCCTCGGATCTCTCCAGATAAACAACACCAACTCTTACGTAGTGAAAAACAAGTCCACGATTCAGGTGAGACACACACAAAGCCTCTCCAAGACACAGTCCCTTTTCTCACAGCTTGGCCCAGCCTCTGTGGCCTTTGCAACCTGCAACAAGTACAATGCCTTAGTTCCAAAGGGTCCCAGACAGCTTACTCGTATTTATGTCCTAATTTCACCAACCCAGTCATGCATCCATCGCAAGGAAACGTTATAAATTCTATCCACTAACTGTGTCGGAGGGACCCAGTTCAGAGACTGGATAAGATTCCTTCTTTTCAAGCAAGTCTTTTAAAGAGGAGGGGCAGAAAAAAAAGTGTATGATCTTTCACCCTGTTCCCAAGAGTCACACGGCTGACTTCTAGATATCACTCTTGTCTTTTACTACGAAAGCCCAAGAGGGCGAAGCTTGCATATAGAGAAAGAACAAAGCTTAGCAGGAGATACGTGATTCGCCAGACATCAATCATGGATCTGCCCAAAGTGGACACAGCCCAGGTACACAGCTGGCCTGATCCGACCGTAGGTTTTCCAGGAGCAGCATCTGAGCTGTGATTGCTTTATGAATCAAAATGTATCAGAGACAAAGAGAAAAGTTTTACTCTAAAGACTGAAAAAAAAAAATTAATAATAAGATTGTACTGAATGAGAAACAGATAAAAGGTTAACCCTCCCAAGCAACATTTTATAACTGTCAGGAGCCATTACATTCCCAATAAATGAAGAGACATTTCAAACACGTAAAAAGAGCTCTAGCTAGAAGTTGCTGTGAAATAATAAAATAACAAGGTACTAGGGAGATTGGGGTACAGATGAAAGAAGAATCAGGAGTGGGGTCCATGATGTATTTCTAATTTTATGTGTTCTAAAAGATGCAGGGGCTAGTGATGCGCCTAGTATCATGTCTGATGATACTTCCGTTTCACACTTGGAAAGCAGTGTTGGAAGCACTAATCATGACTGATTTTACACCTGCAGTAGTGCTGTTGAAAGATTAAAGGCCACTACTGTTTCCCATCCACTGGGAAAGCACCCAAGTCAGGCTGTGGTTCCAAAACACTCCCCTAAACTACTGCTATCCTGCACTCTGGCCGGAGGACTCCCATGCAAGGGAAAAGTTGGTTAGGATCTAAAGTAAGTAACAAGGGATCTGAATCCACAGCCCACAAGCACTAATACAAAATCACAAACATTTTTCTCCTTGGTGTCAAACAGATAAAACGCTTTCCAAGCTCTGGCAGACAGAACGTGGGAGTTCCAAAGCTAAGTGCAGCTCCCCGGTTTCAGGGCGGTAAGAAACAGGCAGAGTCAAGGCCACCTCCTCTCACCAAGACACGTCGGCAGCTGCCCCGCCACCCCACCCCACCGGCCTTGAAACCCGGGCGCGTACCCCATGCCTGCCGCGCAGAGGTGGCCACGGCTGACCACTGGAGGTACCAGTAGCCCGACCAGTGACTCTGAGGCGCCCCCTGAGGTCCAATGGCGTCGCGGCACCTCAGTAATGGGGGGGAAAATTACCGGAAAAGCCGGCTTCTCCCAGGACTGTGGCATTATTACTTTGCCTGGCTCCAAAGGCGGCGGTACCCTCTCGGGTGGCACTTTTTCCAATTGCCCTCTCCCCCACCCTGCACCTCCCACCTCTGCCCCTTTCGTCTCCAACACGACGGAGCAGCTGGAGGAAAGAACGGGCTATTTACCTCACAGCGTGGGCACGAAAAGAGAATGAGGAAGATGAAAATGGTCCAAGCTCCGTGAAAGCAGCATCTCTGGTGGTCATATTTTGGACTTCCAGCTTCCTCGGCCACCAAGAAAATGAACATCGTGGTGGGCCCACTGGCTTGCATTCCCGAACGTAAGGAAGCCAGAGGCGGCAGCGGCAAAGCCTCCTATTTCACAACGTTGCCCTCCGCTACCTCCCATGACCCCAATACCGCGTGCCCATCGCTAAACTTGTCCCCATGTACACCTGAGTCCACTCGGCGGGCAAGTCCACGACCAGGAGGGTACATGGGGGACACACTACACGTGTAGCAGGGGGTACGGTTAATGCCAACACTGAGCCGTCTTCACGGGACAGGGCAGGTAGCTGTTTCTCAGGGAAGAGCTCCGACGATCCCACTCCTTTGCATGCCAACCCCAAGCTGGGCACACCCAGGCCTCCAAACAAGTGTGGACACACGTCCAAGTCCCTGTCCAACCTCCGGCTGGGGATTTCTGGACCATGGCAGGAGCTTGGTGCGGCTCCGGGGACAGGAGGATGCTGCGCCAAGAGGATGGGGGGGGGGGGGGGGAGTGTCCAAGATGAGGCTTTCCTTGGCTCTCTGCTCCCCGAGGCCACTCCGGGGCCTGCAAAGTGGGCACTTGCTGCCAGTGTCCCTGTTGCAGGTTCGTGGGGACAGTGAGCATGCCTGTGCACCGCTCCAGGGAGCACGCACGGGGCTAGGCAATCTGCTGCACCAAAGCCGGGCACTTGACCGCCTGCGGACAGGCGGCTAGAACTGGGCAAAGCAGAAAGCATCCAATTCTCTCAGCTTTAGGTAACCCACGCCTAAATGTATCCCCAGAGCTGATAGACAACAGAAAAACGTGTGAAGGGAGATGGGGGCTTGGAGGGATTGTTCGTCCTTAGAGGAACAAGGGGTGAAAATGGAAGTGTCCCCTTCCCCAGAGGAGGACAGGAGATGTGGCCTCCATCCCCAAAGAGAAAGCTGGACAGCTTCATAGCAGATCAGGAATGTAGTCCCGAGTCCCCACAAAAAGGGGAGGAGGGCAGGACGGATGGCCACTGCCCTCCTGGAGGGGAAGGATGGGTCTGCTGGTTCAGGGCTGGAAGTGAAGGGGTCGCCGAGCTGCACACGGCTACGTGCAATGACTTATTATTGTCATCAATGGCCAATATTGTTCCTGTCTTAACCTGGCCAGAAGACAGCGGGTCTGGGTCTGCCAGCCGCGAACAGCCTGCAAAAGGCAAACATGAAGGTAGGAAAGGCGCGTGAGAAAAGAGAAAATTCACCCCAGCACGGAACAGCCACAGGGCCGGCCCGCCCCCCTCCCCACCCCGACCAGACCCCCATGGCCCCGAGGAGCAGAGCGGAGGAGCGAAGGCCTGGAGCCGAGGTTTAGGATGAGACTGCATCCCCCTAAACCGCTTGCTCCCCGTCTTTCCCCCGTGCTCAGGGAGTCTGGCTGGCGCCAGTAGCCAAAAACAGCCCATGCCCCTGGCCCCGAGTTGGGGGCTAGAAAGGGGCCCGCCTCCGACACCTTTTTTCCACATCCTCAATCCTCCGCAGCCAGCCTCCGACTTCCATCCCAAATTTCAGCCCTCCCCAAGGGTCATGGACTAGAAAAACAACCACCCTTTCTGAGCTCTTCCCATCCGCACCCCAGCCCCACCAAACCTATAGAAACATCCCCCTAAGGCCCCAGTCTCCCCAACCACTCCACAACTGTAGTCCTCTTGAATGGCCACTGGCCAGTAAAGCCAAGTCGCCTTTGCTCCCTCAATGCCCCACAAACGGAAGCAGGAGCAAGAGACCCCCGGGTCCCTACTTCTCCTCCAAGTCCAGTCTCAGTCTCCACCCTCCCCAACTACCAGACTCCCTAAGCATCTCCAAAGCCGGCGGAACAGATCCCTCTTGGTGCGGGGTTCCCGATCCCCCTCCACCCTCGACAGCGTCCCCAGAACCGACGCCCGCCGAGCTCCGCGCCCCGGTAACAACTCTGCATCTCCCGCGCGCGCCGGCTGGAGCCGCGTCCCCTCAGAGGCCAGCACTCACCCGGGAAGCACACGACATAATGGAGCACAGAACTGGTGATTTTCAGGAACAGAATCCACCAACACGGTTCCAGTAACCTCCGCATGTCCGAAAACGCACATCGAAAAGAGGAAAGCAGGGGGGGTAAACTTGTTGAATAAGTTCTTGCTTCTGTACAAGCCTCCCCTAAGCCTGGGCGCTTCTCCGGTTCTCCTGCTCCACGGGCCCCCTCGTTCGGCGACCCGAGTCTCCCTGGAATCCGGGAAGCAACCCAGCGACTCCGGAAAAAAAAAAAATTTTTTTTTTCCTCTCAAAAAAGTGACCGGGAACGCGAAGTCACGCTGGAGATGATCCTCTCGGAGGAGAAAGGTTGCGTTCCGTTGAAAAAGGAGCGAGCCGCGAGCAGGACGAAGAGGCGGTAGGCGGCCGCGAAGCCCGGGGCGCGGGGCAGGCAGGGACCGCAGGCGGCGGCGGCAGCGAGCGGCCAAGGATCCCCAAGTTGAGTCGCCGCGCAGCCCGAGAGCCGGCGGGCGGCGGCGGGGCTGAGCGCGGCGCGGTGTCTCCCGGCTTCAGGCAGGCAGCTCCTTCCAGGGCCCCGGGAAGGAAGGAGGCATGTTTGCGAGCGGGGAAGGGGAGGAGAGCGGCGGGAGGAGCGAGCAGCCCCCCAAAATAGAAACGGCCGGAGGAAACGGAGGAAACCACGAAGGCTCTCAGAGGGGCGCTGGGGCGAGGGCGCCTTCAGTCCATGCTCCTGAAAGTTGTGGCTCCGGCGCAGGCTGGGGAGGAACGGAGAGCGCGGGGCTGGAAACTGGCCATGCCTCCATACAGGAAGTAACATGTGAGCATGGATCCTGGCTGAGACTTTAAAGCCGGCGAGCGAGCGAGCGAGAGAACGAGCGCGGGGCGCGCGACGGCGCTGGCGTCGGGGACGCGCGGCGGCGCCGGCGCACAGAACTGAGCTGCTGGCGGCGGGCGCGCGCCCCGCGCTCTTAAAGCAGCCACGCTCGACTCCCGCCTTCCAAGGGTCCAGCTGCTCCCCGGTGGCCAGCGGGCCCCTGGGGATGCAAGCTCCGCAGGGGCAGTTAAGGGACTAGGCACAACTCCGGCTGGATTTTGCAGAGAGGAGGGGGAAACTGCCTTCTAGAGCAACCCTGAGCGTCTTGGTCAAATTTACGTTGTGCAAGATCTCAAAGACCCCGCGCGCCGAGCGGGTTTGGCTAATTCCCGCGACCACGCAGCTCACAGATCTGCGACTTGGAGGGCGGTGGGAGCGGGGTGGAGGAAGCTAGCCCGGTCCTAGGGAAAGAAGGGGGCCAGCTAGCCGTCTTTTTATTGCCAGAGTGGTTCGTGTTCAGCTTCACCGCCTTGGCAATGCCGCGGCGGGGCGCACCGCTCGAGCCCCCCTGCTCGCGCCCACAGCCCAGCGAATTCTCCCGCCTGGAAACAAAGCCGAGTGAGCGGCCTTTGCACTCGGGCTATGTTGGGATTTGATTCCCTTCCCTCCCCCACTCCAACCTCTCCCCACCCCCAACCCTTTTCGGGCTTCCATTGGCCGAGTCCGCGGCAGGGGAGAAGGGGGAGGGGATTGGGATCGATCCCGGGCTTGCAAAATCCAGCCCTTTGGAGCCCCACTAGGCGGATCGGTGGCTGAGTTTTTTCCAACTCGCAACTCCTTGGGAGAAGGTCCCCGGGCCCCGCTCAGGCTGCAGGAAGTGCGCTTCTGGCCGCGAGCCCGGCGAGAGCTGCGCCGCGGGGCAGAGCTGAACTGGCCGCTACCCAGGGAGCCGCTGCTGCTTTAGCGGGCCGGGAAAGGCGTCCGGGGAAATGGGAGGGACCCGACTTTATCTGAAATGAGCCTTGTCTGAGCGATCTTTACCACTTAAGGCTTCTGAGCACCCCGTTTTCCCTTGTACCGGGGTGCAAAAAGAGGAGGAGGCGGCCTTTTTAATGAATAATGTAATGGAGCCAAGGTAATTAGCCATTTATAATTTTTGTCTAATTTTTCTGTCTCGATTTAAACGTGGTCTTAAACCTGGTTTTTTTGCTTGGGGGTGTGTGTGTGTGTGTGTGTGTGTGTGTGTGGTGTCCCACCCCAGCAGGGTCCCACACCCACCCGCACATTCCCACCCGAATGCTAGGTTTCAAATACCATACAGATGTTCGGAGATGTGATTAGGGAAGCAGTTTCACACCCACACTTCCAAGAGAAAGACCTTTGAAAAGTTAGAAACTAATAAAAGACAGGAAGTTCCCGGTGAGGGCCCAGGCACTATCTTTAGCGGGATGGGGGTGAACACCCGCCCCCAGGGTGAGGAGCCAGGCGAGTTTTGTTTGCTTTGGAATTCGGTGCTTCCTGGTTTTGTTAGAATCGCGGCGGCTCCCTCCTAAATGTCGGCGAGGACCGGTTTTCTTAAAAGTGTTGGAATCACGAACCGTTCTTTTTCGCCCTAAAGAGCTTCAAAGCAGATTAAAATGACACCGGAGTGCCCGACTATCTTCTTAGACATTGAGTAATAAAATGGCAAAAAAATGCACGTAACTAGCCGAAAGTGTGGGCCACCATCCCCAGGTGAGCTTCGTGCTCGGTGAAATGGAGGTAGGAAACGCTGCCCTTTGTGCATGGCTCGCGATGCAGCAGACCCTACGGAATCCGAATGTCTGTTCAGCCCATGATGTGTTGGGCACCTGCTGTGTGTGCTGGAGCATACTGGGAACACAGCCATGAACAAAAGCAGCAAGACCCCAGGGTTCTTTGGGGGAAAACTTACCTCCTCAAGCACGTGTACATTCTGTAGTCCTCTCCTGCAGTCCCCATAATCCTGCCGCCGGTATTTTCCCCATTAGACAAAGCAAACATGCTCAGGGCAGTAAAATGAGGACTGTCCAATTTGTGAGTAGCCAAGCTGAGATTCTGAACCCACTGGCGTGTTTGTTTCCTCTGCTGTGAAAACAAGGGGGAGAAGGGCAGATAGCTTGAAAACAAATGAAAGAGCTTGAGAGCTATTTAACATGGGTGAGGTACAGGAGATTGTATAGTAACATATTCACATTAAAACAGGTCTCATTCTGGCTGACAGAGTGATATACAAACTACCTGGCGCTCCAGCATCCCATATGGCTGCTGTTCTGAATCCTAGCTGCTCTTGACCCAGCTCCCTGCTACGACCTGGGAAAGCAACAGAAGATGGCTGAAGACCTTGGGCCCCCAGCAACCCCATGGGAGACCCGGAGGAAGCTCCTGGCTGCTGCACAGACCATTGCACTCATTTGGGGAGTGAATCAGCTGATGGAAGATATCTCTCTCTCTGGCTCTCTCTCTCTCTCTCTCTCTCTCTCCCTCTTTACCTAACTCTGACTTTCAAATAAAATAATGTTTAAAGGGAAAAAAAAAAAGTAGGTCTCAGTGGATGAATGTTGCAGGGACTCCCAATATGAAATGCATCCCCAAAATTCTCTTGGAAGCACCCCACCAGTTCCTATAAAATTATACAGGCATATATCATAGATTGTTATCATTGCTTCTACAGGCAATTACAGGGCAAACCATCAGATGTTGTTTCAAGGGCTGGCAGCCCAAAAGTCAGCTGACAGTGCACTGCCAAGCCCCCACCTGTGATTACAGCTCTTCCCTGCAGGCGATGTGAGGCCTGCACCACACTGCCAGCCGTGGAGGTAGGAAGGTGTTGACAGTGCCCAAGCTGGGAGGGGCTGGCCACAAAGAGCCCTCAGAACGACATGCCTAGTGTCTCCCAGCTCTCTGAATCCTCTGCTCAAGGCATCATCTCACTGACATCAAGTTACACTCCAAGCTATATGCCATTTGCAACTGTGGTTCCACTTCTATTCTTTTTCAAGTGATGGCCAGAAGATAGTTCCTTGAGGTCACACTCCTGCCATCTTTTTTTTTCTCATTGACTGTTGGCAATGGTTGTTCTCAGGAGTGCCAGCCATGTGGTCCTCTCACAAAAGGCCAGCAAGAAAATCCTGTACAGGTGACTGTGAAGAATTCCACAGACAGAGGATCACTGTGGCCATACAATTTGACCTTTCAAGGGAGTAGCAATTCCCTGACTTTCACAGGAAGCAGGCTAATCCTTCACCCTCTGGTGCTGACATCCCATAGGCTCCAGTTCAATCCCAGCTGCTCTACTTCTGATCCGATTCTCTGCTTGTGGCCTGGGAAAGCAGCAGAGGATGACCCAAGTACTTGGGACCTGTACTCATGTGGGGGACCAAAGGAGCCTCCTGGCTCCTTGCTTCAAATCAGCTCAGCTTTGGCCATTGTGAGTTTGTTTGCATTGGAATTCGGTGCTTCCTGGTTTTGTTAGAGTCACAGCAGTGAGTGGAGAATGAATTCATTTGGATAATGGAGAATCTATTCATTTAGAGAATGAAGCAACATATAGAAGACCTTCTCTCTATAAAATCTTCCTTTCTATTAAAAACAATTAAAATTTGGTTTTTGCTTTTTGGGTTTTGTGTGTGTGTGTGTGTGTGTGTGTGTTTTGTTTTGTTTTGTTTTTTAAGGAAGGGGGGATTGGGCCTGGCGCGGTGGCCTAGCAGCTAAAGTCCTCGCCTTCAACACACCTGGATCCCATATGGGCGCCGGTTCTAATCCTGGCAGCTCCACTTCCCTTCCAGCTCCCTGCCTGTGGCCTGGAAAAGCAGTCGAGGACGGCCCAACGCCTTGGGACCCTGCATCCGTGTGGGAGACCTGGAGGAAGTTCCTGGCTCCTGGCAGTGGATCAGCACAGCACCAGCTGTTGCTCTTACTTGGGGAGTGAATCATCGGATGGAAGATCTTCCTCTCTGTCTCTCCTCTCTGTATATCTGACTTTGTAATAAAAAATAAATCTTAAAAAAAAAAAAAAGAAAGAAAGAAACGGGGGATTGTATGTCCACAGAACACAGAGGGAATCTTGGAGAGCAAACTAGAATTCTACCTGCAAAAATGCTGGCGACCTATTTTGAGTATAGGTCTTACCTGGCTTGACAATGGGTTGTGGCCCAATATCACAAGTGAAACATCCGTTTCATATCCCTAACCTATGAAACATTGAAGAATAGCAATGTGACCCATTGTAAAGTATGGATGATTGGCCCCTGTGATCAAAGGGTTGACTAAAGGCTGCCTTACTGCTGCTGCCCAGTTTTGCAAGAGAGTATCTAACAACGCATTACCAGACAGCAAAACGTTGCAGATTCAGAATCTGGAGTACCATTTCTACAGAGGGCATAAACTTCAGCACTATAGTAAATTCAAGAAAACTGACCCTAAATCCAGTACCATCTGTGGGGGCTACACACAGCAACCCGTAAGCCATTCTGATGGGTTCTGGTGTTACCTCAACATATGTGACTGTAGGCCATTTAACCACTTTGTGCCTTGACTTCCTTGTTTGTAAAGTGGGGATAATAACTGTACCTCTTTCTAAATGAGAGGATTAAAAGGAATTAATATACATAAAGTACTTCAAGCAGTGCCAGGCACCTAATAAGCATTTAACAAATGTAAGCTATTACTGTTATCAGTGCACCCAGCTATGTGATAGGGAGTGAACATCTGTTATTTGCTACCTGCTCAGCCTTCATTGCTTTGAGCAGTAGAGCCCCAGGTTCCTTCACATTAGTCTCCCCAGAGGATCCTGATGAGTTTAACCCTTTCTCCCCACCCCCACCCCTCTGGCCTCTGTGCCTCCCCACCTCCCAGGCTCAGCACAGAGCAGCCACCTCAGACCTTGACTGTCAGCAACATTTCATAGCCCTAGTTTGCCTAACTTAGGACTACCTTGTGCTTCTCACAGGCTGACCCAATGAGTATCAAATGTCCTCTTGTAT